TCTAGAACACTATGCTTCTGTCTCTGTGCAGGCGAGGCTGCCTTCTCATTTGATTTTAGCATGGGGGAAATGTCCTGTAAGTTTTGAAGCTGACGCTCACTTGTGTCCAGCATCCAATTGCTATGACAGGAAAGAAATCCTGACTTCTAATAAAACCTGACAGTCTGTCGTGAAGGTGTATTAACGTACTACTCTCTGTTATCCTGATCTGATGAATGCTTTCTTGCTCTGTCATCCTCTGTCTCATGGAACATTGAGCTAGGCCAATAACCTAAAGACAGTGATCACAATAATTCAACTCTAGAGTTGCCTGGATGCCAGTACCTGCTTTCTTTCATACCCAGGTATTTTGTGACTTGATGGCTGGTGGCATTAGGGACTGGAAGAAGGCAGGAAAGTATGTTGATCAGAGTAGTGGAAACTTCCAAATCCAGTATTTAAGGCATCAAAGCCTCTTAATAGAGACGCTGATTCCAGCCTGAAAGCTCTTCATGAGTGCAATGTAGATGGCAGCTTTGATATTAGCCAGCCTCATTATATCCTATTTTTCTGCCATGTTACCAAAGGTTGAAATTCCTCCTTAGAGATAGAGAGGAAGCCAAGCTCTGCAGATGCACGAGATGTGTATTGCCATGTTTTTTTGCACTGAAATAAAGGAATGTATCAAACTTTGCTATGTGGTCCCTCCCCAATAGTCATCTCATGTCAATGAGATGCTGTTGACAATGACTGCATGAGGCTACTCCCCTCTGGTTCTTTGGCTCCACACATTTTAATAAGGTTCATGGAACATACCTCAATTTGGTGGGGCATGAAATCAAAGCCATTTATGAGATCTTAGTCAGTGTAGCTTCCTCAGCTTGACCAGACGTGCTGCTAAGGGCTAGCAGCTTGTACCCAAAGCAGTGTTCCCAGGGAAGGAGGGTGCTTCACATTCTTTCAGGCCCAAAGGTGAAGGTACTGTAGTCCTTAGTGCATACTTAAAACAGTCAGAGTATTTTAGTCACTCCACTCTGGTTTCTTTTCCTTTGGCAGTGCTGTTGCGTTGTGATGACATTGCAAGTCCCAGTGGTTATTATTCCTTCTCATTTTGTGTATAATCTTGTGAATTTATTTGTTCCTTTCTTTCCTCTGCTAGTCCTAGTGACAGCAGCACACATTAACTTATATTTCGGAGTAAATGATGTAAACCTTATTGTGTCTTTGTCCAGACTATATTGGTGAATAAATATCTGGTTTAATTGCACATTCAATGGATTCAATAAAAAGCACAACTACTTGTGATGATCTGGGAGACATCTGTATCTTTGGTGCTAGTCAGAGGTGTGTATATAGAGTGCTGATGTATGGCATGAAGATAAGGCTATTCCTTGGCTGCTGATAGAGGGATGCTCAGTTTGTACCTGATTATGGATGGATTGAATACATCCCCAGCCTGGATACCTTGACCACAGGTTGAAGATTTGGTTAAGATGACCTCTGGTTCAGCCCATCCTAGAATTTTCTGGACCTTGCAATGCTGAGGAAGCGCCAAAGATCTATGTGTGTGTGTGCACGTGCGAGTTAGGTGTATCACATTTGAAGAAGGCCGTGTTGGAAAACCAGTGCAAACTGTTGGGTATGACATCCCACCCATTCCAGCCTATTCTGAGATTTCCATCCAAGATGTTTCCTGCAGGTGGCAGAAGAGAAGGACTCCTGGCAGCCCCTTCCCACCACGTTTTCTCTAAGACACTGCCTGGGGCAGGTGGCTTTATAGTGAGAAATAAATTCCTTTAAACAGCAAGAGCCAAATTCTTCAACTCCTTCCTTATCCTCTTGCTTCTTTTTCTTGAACCTTCCAGAAATATAACTGTCTCTCAAGTTGAGTTGTTAACCCAAGACGTACATTTGAAAGTGTTGGAGTGGGTTTCGGTGAGGTGGGAAAAGGCTTGGGATGATGGGCAGACATACAGATAGCTTCCACTCAAAAAGCTGTTAAGCTCAAAACACTCCACAAGGGCAGACTTCTTGGTTCTCTGGAATGTTAGGGACATGTCACTGACATTCATGTAACTGAAGGCATCGCTGCTGCCATCCAGTATGAGGTGGCACTGGCAGAAGCATGCTGTCTGCAACACGGTGCAGCGAAACGGAGCTAGGATCATTCATGCACAAGCAGCACGATGTCTTGGGCAGCACTCTGCAAGAAGGCAAACGTAATTGTTTTGTGTATTAATTTGAGATCGGTGTAGGAATACAGAATGATTTTTTTTACCCTTCAGATAAATATATTTGAGGCAAGTGCTATGGAAAATTGTGTGCACTTAAAAGCGTCATTAATGTATGGGAGATGTTGCAGAAATGCCCACAAAATTATTCATGGACAGGAGAAGAGTTTTTATGTGAGAAAATTTGGATCTCAGTCTGTCCAAACCATCAAAAAGTGATCCAATCACAGCCTGCAAGTGCATGGGCAGAGGGAGAATGTGAAGTCTAAAGCCTGTTTTAATCCAGTAATCTCGTGTTGTATGCACACTGTGAGATGGCACTCTATAAATAAAAATCTTAGTATTCAGCTGTAAAATCTCCTATATACGCTACATGTTACCATCATCATCTTTCATTTGTATGACTGTCACTGT